TAGTTGTGTGTCTGTGTTGTGAGTCTGTGTTGTCAGTCTGTGTTGTGAGTCTTCGTTGTGAGTCTGTAGTTGTGTGTCTGTGTTGTGAGTCTGTGTTGTCAGTCTGTGTTGTGAGTCTTCGTTGTGAGTCTGTGTTGTGTGTCTGTGTTGTGTGTCTTCGTTGTGTGTCTTCGTTGTGACTTTGTGTTGTGTGTCTGTGTTGTGTGTCTTCGTTGTGACTTTGTGTTGTGTGTCTGTGTTGTGAGTCTGTGTTGTGTGTCTGTGTTGTGAGTCTGTGTTGTGTGTCTGTGTTGTGTGTCTGTGTTGTGAGTCTGTGTTGTGTTGCGGGTCCGGGTTCGTGGGAACACCAGCTCTGCTGCTTCTATTCTCGGACATCACGTCAGCGCTCTGAGCTGCAGCTTCTTTCTTCCATCGTCTGCTCCGACTTGTTGCGTTTGTTTCCACTCAGAGAGTCGCTGCGTGGACTCAGCCTCCGTGTTTGTGCTGCCCGGGACGCGTGGAGGCTTCTGCTTCTGCTTCTGCTTTTGGTTCTGGTTCTGGTTCTGTCCGGTCCAGGGTCGCGGTCTAAGGAGATAACGACGCTTTTTTTCCGGAGTCACCTTGAACAACAGGTCCGTTACGCACGGAGCCGCGGCACCCCGCCGCTGTCTGTGTGTCCGCCGCTGGATCCGCGTGTCACACGTGTGCGCGTGTGTTTGAGTTCCTCAGTGAGACGGCGTGCACACGCCCCGGCGGGGGGGGCGGGGGGGGAGCAACCTGTTTAAAATGCAGCTGATGTGACCGCGGAGCCAGACGACAGCGGCGCGCGGACGGAGAGGTGAGCGCGGAGGGGCAGCGGCATGTCAGCCGAACCGGACCGCCCGCTGCCGTGACACCGACCCGCGGACCGAACTCAGACCTCAGCCGGTGTCCAGGGACGCACGGAGCGACCGAGGCGGGGGGGAAACATGACCGTGGTGCCCGCAGACAACCTGGACGAGACGGTGGCTCTGGCCGCGCTGTCCGCCCAGGACGTGTTTGACCCGGAGCGGAACCAGAACCAGGAGTGCTGCGAGCGGGTCGTCATCAACATCTCGGGGCTGCGCTTCGAGACGCAGCTGAAGACGCTGGCTCAGTTCCCCGCCACGCTGCTCGGAGACCCGCGCAAGAGGATGCGCTTCTTCGACCCGCTCCGGAACGAGTACTTCTTTGACCGGAACCGACCCAGCTTCGACGCCATCCTCTACTACTACCAGTCCGGCGGGCGGCTCCGGAGACCCGTCAACGTGCCAGTGGACATCTTCATGGAGGAGATCAAGTTCTACGAGCTGGGCGAGGAGGTGATTGAGAATTTCAAGGAGGATGAAGGTTTCATCAAGGAGGAGGAGCGACCGCTGCCGGACAGCGAGTTCCAGCGGCAGGTCTGGCTGCTGTTCGAGTATCCGGAGAGTTCTGGACCGGCCCGGGGCATCGCCATCGTGTCGGTGCTGGTCATCCTCATCTCCATCGTGATCTTCTGCCTTGAGACACTGCCGGAGTTCCGAGAGGAGGCCAGAACCTTCGATGAGCACCTGCTGCTGAACGGAACCGCGCGTGCCAAGAAGCCCAACCCATTCACGGACCCGTTCTTCATCGTGGAGACGCTGTGCATCATCTGGTTCTCCTTTGAGCTGCTGGTCCGGTTCCTGGCCTGCCCCAGCAAACCGGCCTTCTTCAAGAACATCATGAACACCATCGACATCGTGGCCATCATGCCGTACTTCATCACTCTGGGTCTGGAGCTGGCGGAACACCAGGGCAACGGCCAGCAGGCCATGTCTCTGGCCATCCTGCGGGTCATCCGACTGGTCCGGGTCTTCCGGATCTTCAAGCTGTCCCGCCACTCCAAGGGGCTGCAGATCCTGGGCAAGACGCTGCAGGCCAGCATGCGGGAGCTGGGCCTGCTCATCTTCTTCCTCTTCATCGGGGTCATCCTCTTCTCCAGCGCCGTCTACTTCGCCGAGACCGACGACCCGGAGTCCGGTTTCTCCAGCATCCCGGATGCGTTCTGGTGGGCTGTGGTTTCCATGACAACGGTGGGCTACGGGGACATGTGTCCGGTCACCATCGGCGGGAAGATCGTGGGCTCGCTGTGCGCCATCGCCGGCGTGTTGACCATCGCGTTGCCGGTTCCGGTCATCGTGTCCAACTTCAACTACTTCTACCACCGAGAGACGGAGCACGAGGAGCAGCTGCAGTACACCCACGTCACCTGCGGCCAGCAGCAGTTCACAGAGTTCAGGAAGACTGACAGCAAACCGTCTCTGTCCAAGGAGGACTTCCTGTCCAGAGAGGACTTCCTGTCCAGAGAGGACTTCCTGTCCAAAGAGGACTTCCGGGACAGCGAGGACGGCGACTCCATCAAATACACCAACTGCAGCCCACACAAAGGAGCGTACACCGGCAAGCTCACCGACGTGTGAGTGCAGCTGAGGAACCTCAGCCTGAAGAGCTCGTCACTGTGCGTCACCGGAGCCATCAGAACCACCAGAACCACCGGATTCTGTTCAAACCGTCTTCCATTACTTCATGAGTCCAGCTGTCGGACGGTAGCACTTTATGATGGTTGTGTTTCTTAGTAAGACTCATGATGCAGGTTAAAGTTTACATTTGCTTTGTGTTTGAGTACAGCAGCAGGACCAAAAGAACCCACAGCACCAGCTGATCCAACAGAACCAACTGATGCAACTGCATGTTCAAAACAAACTGACTCAGTGTAGTTTCATCTCTGACAGGTTGCAGCCTGACAGACAGAGTTCAGGGCAGCAGCTGTCCAGCCACTGTCTGGGATCCTCATGAAATCAGCTGCAGCCTTTTCCAAACCTGCAGCGCCACCGTGTGGACGCAGAGCCGCGCTGCACGGTGGATGCAGTTTCTATAGCAACCTTCCAGACTTTTCTGTATTGTCTCCACAGGAATGAAAGTGGAGGCACAAACCACCATGTTGTGGAGCCTCCATGTTGTCTGATTCCACCTTTAACAGGAGCTCAGACGTTAAAGTGATCCTCAGACAGGAGCTGCAGATGAAGATCAGATCTGACTTCAGGCTCACAGCTGCTCATCTAAATGCTAGTCTTTGTGCTCTGATCAGTGAAACTGAACAAAACACAAAAAATATTTGATTTGATTAGAAACAGACGTGAAGTATGGAAGCCCAAAGAGGCCAAAATATCAGCTGCAGAATTTGTAATTTAATTTTACACTCAGATGTTCATTTTTGAAAAACACCTGAATTAACTATATTTATATGCAGCATTTTGATATTTATCGTTGGTCATTTTAAATTGAACGTTTATTATTTCTTCCGTTTTTGTGAGTCGACAAATTCTGACAGAAAACCCAACAGCCCAGAATATATGATATAAAACGCAACAAGAGTTCACGTTAAGGTGAATTTAAATTTGCTGAAGCAGATCTTGGAGACAGCAGAAGGTCAAGGATGAGGCTTGAATCTTGAAACTCTGCCAATATGCCCAAAACAAACCAAAAATAATTGAAGGACAGAGTTTAAAGCACTTCAATGCAGATGGTTTTTCTCAATACGATATTCACACATGATGAATCCAGCACGATTTAAATGTTCATTCCTGAGCTACGTAAACATGAAGATAATTCTGGCACCGTTTTCCTTCCTTAGAGGTGTGATAAGCTGAAATCTGAGGTTTTTTTCTCTAATTAATGGATTAAAGTCCAAGATCGGCCTGCAGTCGGAGCTGAAGAACTCTTCATGGTGGAATCAGCTCACCTGCTGACTCACCTGGACTCACCTGGACTCACCTGGACTCTGGGACCATCTGCTGGACGTACACAGGATTTAACTGATGGAATAAAGACGGACGTTTCCACTGAGAAGGTTAAACTCAGCATCCTGTTGGTGGATTATTATGTGACTGATGGATGTTTAAGTGCTGATGTTGTCGACGCTGATGGACTTCAGGCTCTGGTCCAAACTGAGGTGAGTTTGTAGAAGCTACAGTTTGTGTTTGAGCTGTTCTAACCAATCAGAGCAGGACTTATTCTGCTGCCCAACAGGTGACTAATGCTTTAATGAAACATCACAGCTGTGTCCAAACGTTTCCTGTCCAGAGACCTGCAGCTTCAGAACAAAACCAGGAAGTGAAAGTGGCTGAAAGGCTCCACAGTCGTCAGAACGACTTTAATTACTGAAAGCTGATGACATCCAACTCAAAGATGCTTCAGACGGGATTATTTATCTTTAGTTCAAGAACAGAACCAAATAGGTTTTTAGATCCTGAATGCTAACATCAAGGTTGGGTTCCATCTGGACGTCGGCTCCTTTAACAGACACTCGACCAGATTGTGTCTCTGCTTAAATTCATTCAGTTCTTTCACTGAACTTTGTGTTAAACACGTGATCATCAGGAAACTGAGTTTTCGTTTCCAGGAAGGTCAACAGACAAAAAACAAACAAAGACACACAAACCATCTTCAGAGTCACTACAAACGGACTCAGAGTTACTACAGACGCACAATGGTTTAAAAATGACGACAACAAAATGACCACAAGGACATAAAACACAAAGACACAGAAGACGACCTAAAAATGACAACATACAGGTTCAAAATGAGGATCAGTGGTTAGCACCGTGGCCTCACAGCTAGAAGGTCGCCGGTTGGCGTCCCGGTGAGGACACCCGGGATCTTCCTNCTGTCTCTAAGTGTAGCCCTGTGATAGACTGGTTACCTGTCCAGGTGAACCTGCCTTCACCCTGAGTCAGCTGGGATAGGCTCCGCCCCCCATGACCCCCTGGTGAGGGTGAAGGTGTAGGGTTAGGGTTCTTTGGATATTATGGATGTTTGAGTCTCCAAATTCAAATATGGTTCATGTTTCAGGAGCTGATGTGAAACTCTTCAGACAAACATGAACAAAGTGTGAATCTGTTCTTCAGATGTTTGGCGCCGCTGCAGAAAAGAACTGGTTCTGTTCTCCAGCAGGATTCTGGTGACATTTATCTTTAATAAAAGGAAGTTTGTTCACCCCAGTATATTTACTAACTGCAGGGCCAAACCCAGTGAAAGAGGAAGGAAGAACGAAGAACAGCGTCCAGTTATCAGGATTAAAGGTCGAAGGACAGAAACGGTTCCGTGTTCAGCTGCTGATTCAGTCTGAGGCCAATCGGTGACGTCTCAGCGTCTGGGCCTTTGGTTTCCACGGGGACGAAGCTACGAGTCACAGAAAACCATCATATCTGGAAACTACGGCCACAGTGGAGATCTGGATCTTTACGTCTGCATGTGGACAGTCTGGAGTGTGACGTCACAGTGAGCGACTAAAGTGTCGTCAGCATCATGTGTGCGGCCATGTTTCCAGTTTGGCTGCCGTGACAGATAGATGCTGTTTTACTTGTTGTGTCTCTGACACCACATTTACGAGCTTCCACTTCTCTGTCAGTCCAAACAAACCACCCTCACGCCATTATCGTTAAAGCAACATGAAGTAATTCGTGCCATTTGTTGTGTTTTTTTTCCAGGATTCTGACTGGCTACCATGGCTTTATGCATCTTGTTACACTGCCCCCTATAGGTTCGGTTGTACATGGCTAGCAATAGCATTAGCCACAACAACAGGAGAATCCTGAGTGTTAGTAGGCTGTAGGCTAATATGGCTAACATTAGCATTAGCCACAACAACAGGAGAATCCTGCGTGTTAGTGTCATGTAGGCTAATATGGCTAAAATTAGCATTAGCCACAACAANGTAGAAATTTAAATCTGTATTGATTATTGATTGGCTGATGGGTTTTGTGTGCTTAGTTTACATACAGTTGATACGGTTAATGATAGTTACTGATAAAGTTATTGATCAAGTAGTTCAGGTAGTTATTGATAGTTTTTGATGCAGCTATTAACAGTTATTAATACAATTATTGATACACCTTCCAGTTATTGTTATTGATCATATTGGTGGCGTTATTGATCCAGCAGCTGTACATCTATGAACCCTGACCTGATCCATCCTTGAACTCTGCTTCCTGAAGAGTCATGTGATCCTTTCAGGTGTTATTTAAAGACTCACACGGTGCACATGTGATGATCTGTCCGTGGCACCAGCTGCTGGTTGCCATGGTGACTCCATCACAACATCCACATAACACTGGCGGCCGTGGTTTCATGCTGTTTGTGTTGCCGCGCTCTGCTGCAGCGCCCCCTTCTGTCTGCACGTCATTAACGAAAATCTCAGAAGCACTGCTGAGTGTTTGTAGGAATCGTTTGGTTTTTGCTGATCAGTAACAACAAACCTCCACTTTCACCGGATTCGTAGTGAACACAACGTTTGAAGATATTTTCAACACAGAGATGCAAAAATCTTTTTCACTTTGCAGCAAAACCAGAAAGTTTTAATGAAATAGTCAAACCCACACCCTCACTGTCCTTCGTTTTCTCAGGTTCTGGCAGAGTTCTGATCGTGTGTTCCTTTGCTGAGTCTGCTTGAGAAGTTCTTCAGCTTCAAATGAAGTTCCTCCAGTTGGGCTCAGGGTCAGACAGGAAACGTCGGATCAAATTCAAGCTTTTTAGCTGCTTCTGACAGATTGGTTGTATTTTCATGCTACCGTGGCAACAGAGGGTACTGCAGTCTGACAGGTTGGAGACAGTGTGAGGTTACAGCGCCTCCTGCTGGTTGGGTTAGTGTTCCACAGGGACCACAGGCTGGCCTTTATGTTCCACTGACAGACTGTATGGAGGCCACAGCCTGCACACTGGACCACAGACATGAACTCAGGTCCTCCGTCACACATGAACACATCGGGCTCGTTAGCGTGTCAGAGGTCAGGGTTGGAGTCAGGTTGGTGCTGGTTAAAGTCAGGGTTGGTTAAGATCCTTAACTAGTGGTTCTGGCTGCGTTAACATGGGTACAAGGTCCGGTTAGGATATAGCTGGTGAAGGTCAAGTTAAGGTCAGGTTAGAGTCAGACCCAGTCGTTTAACTGATCAGCTGATGACTGGCGTCCTCTTCGGTATTGATTATCGATGACTGGATCTTTGCGCCGTGTCTTGGTGCAGAACAGCCTATTTTTAGAGTCACTACATGGAAATGCATCCATGCCTGAAGAAGCCAGCTGATGATGGTCGTAGAATCTGCTGGAGTGAAGTGAAGCTCGAGAAAACGCAGCGAGCACTTTCACTGGATTATCTTACAAATGAGGTTCAGTCCACAGCTGGTTGGAGCTGCAGCTTCTGGTCCAGCTGCTCGTCCTGCTTCCACTCATCATGTCTGCAGCACATTTGTTCTCCGTTCTGTTTCCCACCAGTGTCCTGAGATCACTGTGGCTCTGGAACACCAGCTTGTTGGTGTACAGTCCGTCCTACAGTTCACAGATACGTTCTCTGTAGAACCAGTGGACAACAGCCAACAGATCAGATCAAGTCCTGTTGGACCTCAGACGTGTGAATCTGCAGGAGGA